GAGAGAGAGAGAGAAGGCTTTGGTATAGCGCTCATTGCTTGGAATGAGTAAGAAAAGGCTATTCAAATATTGGCTGTAGTGAATTCTGCATGCAAGAGATGCTTGGGAGAAGCTGCTTCAAGTTGTATGGAAAGTGGCAAGCTGTAACTGCACTTAAACCTGCTGTGGGAATTGACCATTGAGAAGCGTGCTTTTCTTCAGGGTGGCGTATAGATGCAAACAGCCGGAGAAAGTTTGCAAACCAATCACTGTGAGCATAGGGGTGCTCCAAATTTCATTGCTTGTGAAAGTTGATCTGCAGACTTCCACAACTCCCTTTCGGTTATATATTAAACTGCCTATGACAATGAAGAGCAGTTGTGTGAATTATGCAGGGTAACTTGTATATTTACTTATAACTGATACCCACTGCATTCAATGGATCTTACATTCAGACGTGCATAGCACTATAATCTGCATACACAAAATTGTGGAACATAACGTAAGCGTGAAGTAAAGAATGTTAGGAGGTAGTTGAGGTAACCTTGCTCTGTATATAGCTGTTTCTTGTATCAGCAGTTTCATTAACAAGAAATACTTCTGCTCAGTAATGTTCTTTTGGGGAGAGCAGCCAAAGCTTGCAAAACTATCCCCAGAAGGAATGTCCAGAGGAATGTCCACCACTTCACAGCCATCTTGTTTCCTCTGTTGATTAAACTGAAGGTTGTTCTCCCAGAAAAATTGAAGATATATCCTAATGCCAAGACTCTCCAACAGAGAGATGAATAAAGTTCACAACCCAAAGCCTTGGTGGGAGAAAAAAAAAAATCCCAGTTCCAAAGTGTTCCAGTCATCAAAACAGATCTCTTTATCACAATGACATAAGGGCATGTCTCACTGATCTTTCCTTTTGTTTTGCCTTTTGATGCCACAGTAGGTAACCACTCCTTGGTTTTTTTCCTTGGTTCCTATTATATCTGTCCTGCTGCAAACAAGTATGGCCACTGAAGCTTTGTACTATTTGTTCTGAAGCCCTTGAATCTGGCATTCTTTTTCTTGGCTTTGCTTCCTGGTTCTGACACCTGTGTTTTTCAAAGTCAACATTACCCCCACCCCCACCCCTCGCAATTCATTTGGGGCCCCAACTGCTCCTCGGGCAGTTTTTGCTCTAGTTTCATGCCTAGCTCTTGTTTTTAGGGCCTGCTTGAAAACCTTGTTTCCTTACTTTCTCAGAGATCCATGTGTCTTCCATGTTCACAAAGAAAACTTTACACACCTCAACAAATGTACGCAATCTGGAGCTTGGTTCCATACAAGGCATGATGTACCCTGTATGCTTCCTACTTTTATTTTTTGATATCCCAAGTTAAACCATATTTTAGGAAGATATGTTAGTTTTGAGGTCCCTCTATTAAAGACTAAGTCTCTTCATACTGTTATTATCTCAGTGAGAACCCATTTTGTCAGAACTTCACTCACCTATACCATCCAAGTAAAAATAAATCTAGATGTTGAGATCATCTTGAATAACGGTGCTATTCAAGCAGTTCAATCTTGGATTCTTCCAGGGCTAGATAAAATACCAAAGTTTTACGTGCCTAAGACTCATTTTCTTCAGGAACTTATCCATAAATGATGTGGAAAGGGACCATTGCAACAGGCAAATAAAATCTTGCCCATACACAAGTGACACACTCTTAATATCAAGTTATTTAATGACTTAGAAGATCATATACCCTCTTACCTGGGAGAAAGCCACTGAACTGAATGGATCTGATACTTGAACAGATGTATATAAAATAGCAGTAGGGTGTTCTTAACTTCCAGTCTAAAAAAGTGCTTTTCTAGCCAGCTGTATCGTAAGTTTCCCTAAGGAAGTTGGCTAGATTAATGGACACACTTTCAATGAACAATGTAGAGTTTTTGTAATTCTTTTTTCATATTTATGTGTCTTCTGATTATATTTATTGAAGTGTAATTTTATGTCTGTTGAATTTAATAATAACAAATTGGGCTTGTATTTTGTATGTCTATTTTTTAAATTTCATTTTTTAACAATTTATTTTTCCTGGATTTTCCAAAAGTATTGGTCTGTGACAGACTGGAAATTTTAAAAAACTGGTCCTTCACCACAGATAAGTTTGAGAAGCACTGGGCTAAGGGACACTGATGAACAGTGATATTTTTAACACACCAGAATATATTAATCCAATAAAAATTGATCTATTCAATAGAAACCACCCCCTTTTCTTATTACTGAAATTTCAGTTATGTACCATGATTCCTTGGAAGTAAAGTTCTCAATGGATAATGTATTTTAGTACAAATGTTCACAAAGTAGGATAGTGCAGGTCCAAGTGAAAGACTGCCCATATGTTGTTTAAAATTCTTTGCCATAAATCCAGGACTGTGTATCTAATTTCAGATATACAGAAATTGTCCAACTAAACCTAATTTTGGTGACAGGTAACAATTAGAAATCAACTGGGGAAAAAATCTATCACCCAATTAGCAGGCAAGCAATCAAAAATTGATAAAAAATCAAGAATAGCCTTTTCAGTAAGAATCCCTCTTACTTTCTAGTATGACAGCAGGGAAAAGACTACAGTACAGTAGTTCGAGGAGAAAGAATTTACAATCAGACACTAGAGGTCGCTAGAGCCAAATAGTAGAACAATATGGAGCAGAATTAAAAGCTGCTTTCTCAAAATACCTTGCAATGCTACATTTGCAGAAATGTATGTCCTCTAATTGTGGGTTTTCATAATAGCCTTGATGTGAACTAGAATTATCATGTTCATGTTGGTTATTTTTGTTGTTATTGTATGCTTTCTAGTTTAACTAGTTCAAATGCTGGATTGTGAAAGTGTGAATTATAAAAGAAGCACGTGGTTGGACTCAGTTCTGTGTTCAGTGCAGTTTAGGGTTTTCTAAAATTTCCATCAGATCAATGGGAAAGAAACCTCTGCTTTTAATCATTTCACCTTTTTATTGGCGAATGAGTGATTGAAGATCAGGACTGTTGTCTCTTCAAAAGACTTCTTGTCAGACTAGGCATGTATTTAATAATAGAAAGGTGGCAGAAGTCCTTTTTATAAAATTTGATGGATGCCCTCTATGTATTATGGCAACACATGGAATTATGAAAGAAAGCGTGCATGTGACCTTGGTAGCCATCTCTCTATTAATTCTGCAAAGTGTTAAGCTTATATTATGCATCCAAGATGTTCTTTGTACTTGTATGTATAGTTTTCCCATATTGAAAGAGTACACAGCTTCCTCATCTATAGAAAAAAAGAAAAGAAAAATATCAGCTAAATCAATAATTGGGAAAGTGTTGAATCCATTAAAAATATTCTAACATATAGTAAATTTCTTCCAGCTGGAATATAAAAGTTGGATGAAGGCTAGCTTGCCTTTAAGAAGGACAGTGTTATATCATATTGAAAGTAATTTTTCCTTGATAAGAGAGGAGATATGAGCTCTTCTTGCTGGCCATGGTTATTGACGATGATACTTTGCAATACTGTGCCAGATGGAAAAGGCCGGCTTTTGCTCTGTATTGGATTTCAATTACTGAATCATAGCCTACTCTTCATGGGCCCTAGCTTCACTGCTATCAGCATTTATTCGGATTCTTTTCTAATATGGGGCAAAAAGCAGAGAAAGAGAGACAGACAGAGAAGCACCAAGAAAGAGATAAATTATAATCTAAGAAAAAAATGGTGGTAGGTGTTTTTGGACTTTCATACTCTGACATGTTGCACCTTCTCTTCTGCCCCAAATATAGAAGCAGATTGGAACCACTGTGCACATTTGTTTTAAAAAATGCATCTAGGGTCTGTCTTCCAAATTCAGACTAACTGGGTGCTTACTCTGATAAACAGACTAAGTACAGGAGCTGAAAAGCATGACTGCATCAGGTTTTTTGTAGCTGTGTTAAAAGCAAAAAGAGTGGAGGCATTGCCTACCCAATAGGTCAGCTTTCTCTCATCTGCTGCCCCCTCTATATATTGGAATGTGTGATCCCTGGACCCTTAGGATGCTGGACTGGAGAGGTTATATTAGGATTTAGTAATATAAATCTTGGCCAACCTGGGCTAGATCCGTAGATGCTGCTCTGGCATGTTCAGTTTCATGGCTCTGAGAAGTCAACTTGTTATTGGTTCATGCCAATTGGTGAAGGCTAGGCATGTGGATTTTATTTCAAAGCTAACATTTATATTTATTTGCAACTGATTTATTTTGGAAGTCCTTTACATCTCAGGGAAACAAGATTTCTATTTTAGAGCCATGTCACTCCTAACAGGTAACTACAGCAAATAGGTAGGAAGATACATTACTATTCACCTAAAGAGGAAGAGAAACTTCTCTCTTTGAGGGATGACTGCAGGATATGGAAAAAAAACAGTCAAGATGGCAGCCAGAAGGATACCGTTGAAGCATCGCCTCAATGGTGATCGCAACTTCCTGGCTGCCATCTTGATTTTTTTTTTTTTTTTTTACCATAACTTGCAG